CTTCTATGGAGACTTCTACATCCGGGCATATGCGTTAAAAATGCTAGTGAGACGATGATCGAGTAAGCCAATGCATTTTACACTATGGCTCCTACAAGGTCGTACAATCCTCACTCAAATACATACAATGAAGAATGGAGAAATCACCCAAATTTCTCCTACAAAAACACTAATCCACCATCACCACCACCTCGAAATAACTATAACACACCACCAGGTTACCATGCAAGACCACCTCTAGATTAACAACCCATGCATCAAAAAGCAACACCCTTGTCGCCCACCTCTTCATTGGTGACTACCTTTTTCAACAACTTTACTTATGGCTCATTTAGTCCTTTAATTCCTTTAGTCCTTCCTCGACCACACCCTTGTCACTCTCGATCACACCCTCGTCGCCCACCTTTTCATTAGTGGCTACCTTTTTCGACAACTTTACTTATGGCTCCTTGTAAGAGGATCTTCCAATTGCTTTCCACTCCTCAACAACACGACATTGAGATGCTCCTTTGAAGGTTGCTCAATTTGACCACCAAAACTTTCAAAGATTGACCCATTTGATGAGCAAGTTGACTTATTTGGCTCTCCAAAAGTTTGTTGTGAGCTTGCATCTGGTGAATTGCTTTCCACTCCACAACATTTTAGTTAGTCTGTATTCTACTTTTCAAATTTCTCATTGAAGACACATAGTGTACTTACAAAGACCTAACTTAATGCACCCTATGAAGATTGCTATGCCCAAATGCCACTCGAATGGTCGTACCTCCTAACTCTCCATGCGTAGGCGTGATAACTGATACCAGTTCAAGTTTTGAGTGGGCTTGTTAATAAGTTATTTGGTGCTGAGGTGTTTCTCAATGTATACCTAAGAAGTGGTAACTATCATATCACAATTGGAAAAAGAAATGATCTTTCATAATAAATTAAGTTTGCAAGCTTGAGTAGCAAATCTAGCGAAACCCTTGTTTACCCAATGTATTGAGCACATTCATAAGGCTAAGAAAATTTGGTTACTTAACCTTAGAGTCTATAACTATCATAAATATAATTTGCTTCTAAAGTAACTTCAAGAGTATTTGAAATCCTTAAGGTACGCTAAGTGGTATAATATTACATAGATTGCAATTTCATGACTAGTAGCATAGTTTTCTAAGGTCATGTTGTCTCTTAAAAAGGTGTTGAAATGGATGGCAACGAAGTCGAGGACCCAACTATTATTCAAATTTGGCCCACACCCTATTATATCCATAATGTGGAATTTTCAGAGGGTTAGCTTCATTTTGCATAAATACGACGGAATTTTAGTTTCTTCATAATTCCAATAATGCTTGAGAGGAAAAAAAATCAGCGGATCCCATAAATTGACGGTCCATATCACAATCAAGATGAGGCTTTTGTTTAAATATAAAAGCATTAGCATTCTTAAAATTTATTTGAGTGAGCTTCTCACTAGAAAAGGACATCCGATAGGCATAACAAATGAACAAGCACAAGCAATAACGTGAGAGCACATCCACTGACAAAAGAATCAAAGCACCTATTATGAAACGAAAGAAGTGCAGAATATAACAAATAGCACACAGCCCAATATGACCTTAAGGGCTTTACACTATCACCTATTCTTGATGGTATTTTGCTTACTATGATTATGTAATTTGTGCTAAAATTTGACAAGAACACATAAGCTAAAGGACATAATGACAGTGATTGTTAATAGATTTCTACAATGGTTCATTAATATGACAATATCCAAAGACTCCAAACAGCTAAACACAGCAAAAAGCTCCTTTCAAACCTATATAGACTGTTCGCGGAAGACCAAATGTTGATCACACTTTTGGACAACTTCGTGGAAAAAGATAATGAATAGATCACCAGAATCTACTTTCATATCAAAGATCACCCTTAAACACGTCAAGATTGGTACACTTTCTGCAAAGTGAAGCTAGCCTAAGAATACTCCAAATATCATCCAGTTCATTATGTTGGTTTCAGTTCACTCATAGTTCCATCTATGGGACATCTTAGAGAGCTATTTAGTAAACAATATCTATGCAATACAAAATGTAGACTCTAACTATGACAAGGAGGGCAAGGAAGCTAAGTATAGGGCAAAAGCAAGCACAAAGTTAAACTCACAAAACAAGAGGGTGTGAGAGAAGCACAGAGTAGCATAGATTAATAGAATAGGAAGATCTGGAGGATAAAACAGATCAGCAAGTGGAAGCTGGAAAGCAATTTGGTAAAAGAGAATTTAAACGTGGGTGTTTGATGATAGGAGAGTTAGATGATTTGAAGATTGGGGAGATGTAACTGGCCTCTTCAAAGATTTTTCATAGATGGTTGGTAAGGTTTTACTTTGCTTCATACTCTTTTAATCTATCTTGAAGAGGCAAATAATTTTAATGTTAAGTATTAATACTCCATACGCATCACCTCAACCATGGACAACCTCATGTACCCCTAACAAGCACCTCATTGAGATCACCTTGCCTGGGAATTTTCTTATGTAAACCTCTCAAGCCAAGCTCCCATGCAAGCATTTTGACAGATAGTCAAACCTTCAACGTTACAGATTCATAACCTTATATTACTGATAACGATGAGGCAAAGTTGAGAGCAACAGGGGTTAAATGTTGTACTTGACCAAAATCCTATAAGAGTTAAAAAAACTACAAATGCCACCCCTTTAAAAGTTAGAGGGAACAACAGCAAAACAAGGAAACTGCCCTTTTCATTAAAGAATTTATTAGCATATCTTAGTTCATATCCCGGATTCAAAAAAAGTCTCGTGAAAAGGCGCCTCTTTCTGAGGAGAAATGCCATAACATAAGAAGAAGGGGAGAAATCTACGTCTCTTTTGCAGCACCTCTCGGACTTTGTTCTCTTGCCATTGCCTCTAAGGCACCCTTAGTACTTCTAGCTTATTATTGTCTTCTTAGTGGCAGCAACACCTATTTCAAGGACTTGGAAATACAGATAAGAAATAACTTAATTAAGTAAATGTGCTGCAGAGGACTAATTTTGCAAAATTTACTTGATAAGACACTAATTCAGGTTTCCTTATTAAAAATTAAGAAGAAAAAAGTGTCCTCTTTGTAAAAGCTATAAATGCTAAAAAAAATTAGTTAGAAAATAAATCTAAATTAAGGAATATTGCAAAAGACCAAGATATATTTCCATTTTATAAGAGCTGGTGCTATAGCAGACTTACAATGGATTTGAATGAGAGGATTTAAAGAGAAAGGAATGGCAGGAGAATGATGATCGATATGGATTGGGAGAAAAGAAGAGGAAGGAAATGGAGCATCCAAGTCTCATTTCTCATTTAATAAACCAAAATTCATCCAGACTTAAGGTTTGGTGAAAATAAAAGTCTCCATCTCCCTCCACTATAGTTATCAATAAACATTGTTAAAGCATGTTAAGTAAGAGTGTTTTTTGGGTTGGAAACAGATTCAATCAAACCATTACCGTTACCAAATGTTTGGTTAGAAAATTTAGGTAACTAGGTAATGGTTTCCACCTATTTATTACCTCTCTAAAACCTAAGGTAACAATACCCTTACCCTCCTCAAACAAACAGAATGGGAGTTAAGGTCAAGTAATTCTTCTCCATGGCTAAACCAAACAAATGAAAAAGCAAGAGTTATATGATTCTTTTCCTCCCTCTTATTTGCTTCCTTTCCACTTCATTACTAATAATCATACCAAACACCCCCTTCACGTGAACAAAATCTAGTAAGAAGCCATCAAAGAAAGTACTTATATCAGCATGAATTGCATTCACTCCTATGAAATTCTGATGATATCCAAGATTTCTCTAAATGAGCTTACTTATTCGGTGAAACAGGCATATGATTACCTCTATAGGTATGTTTATATCTAACTTCTAAAACTCCGTCAAGATTTGAAGAATCAAGTGAACCTTGTAGATCACTTAATTACATGAAACAAAAGAGAGGGTCCGAGGAAGCATGGATGATATCTTCCAAAAAATTTCAGAACTTAGCTAAAATGTTTTTCATTTTAACTTCTGAACAAGATGCTCAATTCTTTGCTATCTCCCTACCCAAAATTTTTAATTTTTTAAAAAACAAAAACATACTTATTAAGATTAGAAAAACTGTAAGGATTTCAAAAAGAATCTATTGTTGTTTCTTTTACCCCAAAACACAAAATAAGTCGAGGTCAACTATATGATCTTATGTGCGTCCTGCATAGAAAGTTAATTTAAAATGTTTAACATAATGTTAACATTTTAGGAAAAACTGCAAGAATGTAATCTTGGCTCTGCTGGCTTCAAGATAAAGGTGGAACTTCAAAGTGAGCCAATACAAATATATAATGCTCCCAATCAGAAAAAAGGCAGTAGTTCAAAGCAGCGATTATGCAAGGAAGCTTGAAAAAGATTAATTTGTGTTTCAAATATATTGATTTACAATGTTTCACCATAAGAGTGACTGACGCATAAATCTAACAACCACTTACTCTTTTCTACCATTTCACACTTCCAATTGCTAACTTTAACTAAATTTTAACACTAAAACTAGGAAAACCACCTTCAGATCAATCAAGTATGCAAGTTTGTTGCTATCACCAAGAACAAAAATAATCAACACAATTTCAGAATAAATTTCAATTTATTTTAATCATATGCCAAAGAAACATTTTTATAAATCCTTATACCAAGCGAAATCATGTTACTTGTTATTTATTCTTCCAATATGTTCTATATAAACTCCCAAATTGTCCGTAGCCACATTAGTTTTCAAAAAGACACCAACATTGTAAACTGTAATTAAATTGAATTTTAGCTCCCTTTGCAAACTAAGAAAACACATCAATCTAACGCATAATTTAAAAATTATAGACGAACATAGAAGGCTAATAACATAAGAACGACAAAGCACCCTGGGGAGAGATCACATAACACTCAAGAATAATAAGGTTTTAGCAGTAACAACTGTTTAATTAACATAATATAAACCCTATCTTACCAGTTTGTCCTGCTTTCGATTTCCAAATAACTTCAATAGAAGCCTTCTACGTATATTATTTGATCTGGTCCCAAATTTTGGACAATAAACTGCGGCTTAAACTCAATATCCCCTCATAAGCAAATGCAGCAACTTTTCTGTACATCAAAGAATGGATTTCAGGATACAATACTATATCCTAACCGATGAACCCAGCTTCAAAATTATTATTGCGCAGCAAACACGTCCAAAAGTGTCAAAATACAGGATTGGCATTTGGCACACTAATCCTCTACAATGATTTTCAATTTCTCTCTCCTTTTCACCTATTTCAAGATTTTTTCAATCTTCTTCCACCACTTCGCTCTTTCTTCAGTTCTTCACTATAAAGTTTTTTAATGAACAAACACACATAGCACATCGCAGCAATTAGCATCACATCACAGAAGATAAATCCGCCAACAATTCAACTAAAATACTAAAAACAGCTCACATATTTGCCTCATCATCTTAAACTGATAAAAAACATTGGATCATCAATCGAACTAACATTACCTAAATTCAATAATCCTGTAAAAAATGATTTGTAGATTGAAATTTAAGTTAAAAACAACAAAACTTCATGTTAACTAGAATTTCCAGAAACTCGTAACACAATAAGCTCGAATTTCCTAATAATGCCGCAAATATCACAAAAATTCAAGCAAAACGCAACTAAATTACTCGTCAAAAGTTTGTAAACCTCAAAATTAACCATAAAACTTAAGCCAAATCAACAAAATTAAAGGCAAAACCGCGAAATCGAACCTGAGAATCAAATTGTTAGGGCTACTATCGGCGAACAGTGGCGGAGGACTTCTCATCAACCCTAAGCAGGATGAAGCAATAGACGAATGAAATCCTAACGCCTCTTTTGATCTGGTATCCGCCATTGATGATTTGCAGGAAGTTTTTTGGAAACGAAGAGAGAAAACAAAATCAAGGCCTGCTTAATGTTTTTGCAAGTAGGGCGGTAAAGCTTAATGAACAATGCATAATGAGTGAGTGGGTAGAGTGTGTTGAGGCTTGAGGGCATTCAATTTTTTTATACTTTTTTTATTTTTTTTTTTTTAATTAAGGTTTGATTTAGTGCAGAAATTTACATTTTTAAACGATCATGATACTTTAATTAGATAATAAATATTGAATGTTTCAAAAAAAAATGTTGCATAATAAAGAATAAATAACTAAATGTTGTACTATATAATATATATCAATATATGGAGTGTACAAGAATAAATATTTGATACTCGTATAAAGTTAGGAGTGTAAAGTGTAATACATGGAAATCCAATTATTAAAAAAGTGATCATCATACGTAATGACTACGTAATTACTAAATTTCGCAAGCATTCGTAGCTTTGTTTTGTGTTGAATTTGATTCTTAAATTTGTGTGAAATGCAATTCATTCATTCCCAAGTAGAGGAGGAGCTCATTTAACATGGTGTTAATTATAGTTGAGCATGAGTTGAACAGGCAATCAATTAGGCACAACACAAATATGGCTCGACCCTAGTATGAACTCGTCACATCCATGCGACGGCCTAAGCATATTAAAAAATATTACGAGGACTTGTGGGCATAACACATGATGACATGACCTTATCTAACACGTAATTCTGGTTGTGTGTGGGGCTTCATTTTCGATCAACACCAAATTCAAGGTCGTGGCCGTGGTCGAGATCGCCTCAAGATTGCTAGTAATTCTCCGACCACTCGACCGCCGTCTCCGATGACACTCATACTCAATCTGTTCGTGATTCGAACTCTTCTTTTTCAACGCAACGCCGAAATTCATCCAATTAATAGCTTTGACTACAAATACAATCGCAATAACTATAATAATTGTTATTATGATTATAATTCTCCGTCGAATAATTGTGGTGGTGGTTGTAATTTTAGAGAATTTGGTAATGAAGTAGAGTAGAAAGGAGGAGAGCAAAGGAGAGAGAAACAGAAGGAGTGAGGTGCGAAATTATCTTACAAACAATAGCCGCCCCCAATAGTTTGTATATTTTAAATGAGAGAGTTTCACTCTATTTCATAACTTTTTTTCCTTAATTATTTTAATCAATATCATTAAAAAAAATTTGTGCATTTTTTTTCTTTCTTAAGTGAATTAGGTTAGTAGGTTTTTAGGTATCACTTCAATTAGTTTTGGGTATAGTCATTGAGGTTAGCTTAACTCTCATTCACACAACTACTTTTAATTAAATAAATTAATTATTATATTAATTACTATTGAATTAAGTCAAATTAAAATAGACTTAAGTTGTAGGATCACCACGAATCCATGATGACACATACAACTATTAGAACTTGCAAAACTATAAAAAAAATGATAGGATGACAATACATTTGACTCTTAATCATAATAAATTAAACTTCAATTCAATCATTATATCACATTTTTGGTGATTTTTTAAGGGTAAAAAACACCATATACAAAAATCGTTTGAAAAATTGAGAGTTTCACTTACCTAAATTATTTGAGTAAATAATCTCCTATTTTAATTAAAAGTACTTTTTCGTATATAAATTTACCAAACCTAACACCAAAATAACAACCACAAACCCAATGTTTCACTTTCCATTAGAATCAACCAATTTAAGATTTCATTTCCAATGATCATCCTAGTCTAATTATCTAAAACCAAATTTTATTTATTTATTTATTTTTATTTTTTAATTTTTTTTTAGGACTACTGTACCACCCCTGCAAATCTGCTGCCCATGCATGCATGATTGCATAATAGAGTATTGATTTAACCTATGATCATTAAATGATCTCATGCATATTGAAGCGGAGAAGCGCCAATGCAATAATAAAATAGTGGAGTAATAATATAGGTTTGATGTCAGCTTAAAATTTGTTAAATATGATACCCATAAAATCACATTGATTGAGGGGGAAAAGTCAAAAACGTCCTTAAAACAACAAGCCAAAATGACCTCTTAGGAAGTAAATAGACTTGATAATTCACCGCAATGACAAGCCTAAGGCGGCACAAAACGTGGAACTCGCAAATTATTTATTTTAGTTTTGTACCTATCGCTTTACTCTCTTCTTCATGCGCGTATATTTTACCTAAATTACATGTTGACCCGTCAACCCATCATCACTTGATAATATCGTTTTTTATTGTACAAGATTGATACGGAGTATTAGAAAACTATACATTACGATGACTTTAAATAGTTAATTTTATGTGTAAAGCATAAACCAAAATTAAGGGATATATGGAAGTAGTGCAAAAATCAAATTTAAGGATTTAAAAAAGCAGAGGAAGTGATAATGTTTGATTAAGATTAACATTTATGTTTTCAAATCAATTGACATTTTATAACTAGATCAAAAATACATGTCATAAGCATGTACAATAATATTAAGGACAACACACCAAATAATTGAATATTTAGCTATTCAATGAGCTGGCATTCTGTTATTCCTTTTTCTCATTTAGCTTTCTGTTATTTTAGTACAATGAATGTATTAGATTCTGTCCAGCTAGCTTCAACTCCTTAGTGCATGTATTAAGGGGTAATGCTGTAACCGTTTTCAAGCTAAGCAATTAGAATATCTCTATCTCTATCTTCTTCTCCTAATTCTCTCTGATAATTCCTCTGCATTGATTTATCTACACTCAATTTCTTTCACTCATCAAATAATTTTATAGAATACTTTATACTCCATATTATAGCTTTAATAGGGTCTAACATTTTAACTAGTTTAAAATTTGGAAACGAAATTCTCATAATTTACTTTATACAATACTCAAATCGCAGATATTCTAAATAAATGATATTTACTTTATATAAGTCGGTTTTTCTATTTGATTATCTCAGAGCCAAAGAATGTGAAATTATTCACGAGGTTAAGCAAACCATGCAATTAGATTATCATATTCCTTCCCCTAAAAATTCTCTTTTCCCCTTTTTGTGACTATTTTCCCTTGTTATTGTTTTTCATTTACATTAAGTTGGTTTTCATATACGGAATATCGCATACTCTATGCACCCAAATATACCTAAATGAAGTATATTTAGTCGTTTCCCATGTGAGTACACTACAATTCACATGAATCACATTATACCACATAACTGACACTTTTAAGTCATATAGTAATATATGACACTTTTACATACTACATGCATTGTCCACAACTCTATAAATCATATATAGATCTATCGTACGAGTACAATTCTAAATTAACTGTTGAATCCATACCAACCTTTAACAAACTTACTCGAGTTCACCTCATATAACATACCTTTCAATCTCTCATCACAAGGTCACACTTGAACCCACTAAGGGCCTGTTCCGATTGACTGAACTCAGCTGAACTGAACTGAGCTGAACTGAACTGAACTGAACTTATTAATTAGTGATTTTTAACTACTAATTAGTAATCTTTGATTATTTATTGATTATTTATTATTATACATATGTGTATATACAAATGTACATATTATTATTAATATTAATATTATTATTATTATTAATTATTGATTATTATTATTATTATTTATTGATTATTATTATTATTATTATTATTATTATTATTTATTGATGATTATTATTATTATTTATTGATTAGTATTATTATTTCAATTATTATTGTTATTATTATTATTTATTGATTATTATTATTATTTATTACTTATTGATTATTATTATTATTAAATAACAAAAACCTACAAAGTCAAAAGATTTACAAGAAATTAGTGGGGAGCCGAGATACAATCTGGCCCCCCACCCCTCTAGCTATAGCGAACCCAATCCTGTTAAAGATGTGAGCAGCCGCACGAGCTCCAATATCCTGAGTCCTAGCGAACGCCTGAACCCGCTTCAGCAACGCAACGGCATCCTTCTCTAATTCCCCCAATGAAGAAAAGGAGAAAGGAAGAAAACCATAGCCAATAGCCCTGCAACGCGCCCCATACTTGTCTCGCTTCCGCTGAGCCGCAGCCGACATAACACGACCAGGAACGAAGTCAGACAACCCAGATTGAAAATATTATTATTATTGTTGTTGTTGTTGTTATTGTTGTCGTGGTAATAAGAGGTTAAAAGAATGAAATTTGGCTTTATATCATTAGCAATATCATTAGACGTAAATTAAGAGCTGAACTGAACTGAACTGAATTTCAACGGAAGAGAACAGACCCTAAGCCAGGCCACGACCCATCTACACCTCATTGGAATGGCTAACATTTTCAAACCAAGGAACAAAAGCATCACGCGTTGGCTACCCTCTCGTACTCTCGTGGGAAAATTAAATTTCCTTTCCTTAACGACACCAGACACAAAAGTTCTAGTCATTATGAAATGTCAGATTCCAATTATTAATTAAAAAAAAAAAAAAACCATAGGTTAAAAAATTAAACACTCAAATACTTCGTACTGGTATAATATAAAGTTAAATCATGGACCAACCTTTGGCTTTGCCCCAAAACCCCAAACTAGTTATAGTCAGCTCAACACTCTTCTTAGTCTTCTAACACTCCAATTTGGAAAATTCTACAACATTTTCTCTCTCCAAATTTCATTACTGTACATTAAATTCTCTCAAACTTTCTCTATCACTTTCTTACCATAAAAATTCAGATCAAAATTCCTCTGTTTTCCTCTGTTTTTCATTGATTCTTGCTCAAGTTTATACTGGGTACGTCTTAATTCTTCTTGTCTTTTCTTTTGTTTTTTGTCATTTCATTAATGAATATTTTCTTGTACTTTTTGAGTATCTGAATTTTCTTGTTGAATTATTCTGTGAATTTTGATCAATGAATTGCTTTTTTGGGTTTTAATTTCTGGGTTTGTACTCTTTATTGTTAATATATGGTCTAAAAACTTTATATTATCTTAAATTGATTGCATGGTGGATCTCAAAATCTATACAAATACCAAGTACAGTAATAAAATACTGTGTTTGCTTGAACTGTAAGGTTGAATAAGGAAAAGGACATTTGAGGATACTTCATAAACGAAGTACTCTGTAATTCTGTATTATTATGCTATGCTCTTTTGTCCTTTATTTTAATTATTTTTATTTTTTCTTTTCCTTTTTCCCTCTTTATCTTTTCTTTTTCTTTAATTTTTTTATTTTGTAATTTTAAATAAAGTGATTGAAAAGTTTAATCTCAAGTTTATTGATTTGGTAGTTACTAAATTTCTCATAGACTACATTATTTACACGTAATTAAATTGGTTTATCTTCTTCGTCATTGCAGCAATTTTGGTCATGTTTATTTTCTCTTTAATTTCACTTTATTATCTTGACATTTAAGATTTGGTAGGTAGAATTATTTTATTTTATTTATTTTTTCAATGTTTGGGACAACTGGAATTTTATATGCATGTAAAATGCAACACATAATTCATTTTTTTTTTTGACCAAACAACACATAATTCATTTTACTTCTCAATATAATATCCATTATTAATTTATTACTACATTAATTAATAGAGTATGAAAGAGTATTTATTAATTAATTATTGGTTGATGAGTACGAGTACATGTTTAATTATTAGGTAGTGGAGTACTATAAACTATAAAGTAGATTTCCACTTGCGTGTTTCTTTTTCTTTTTCTTTTTATAATTAATCCGATTTTTTTACTGTTCATAATGTTCGTTCAAGGTTCAACCAACCAATATATATTTACTAATAATGTGCATAATCTAAAATTGGTAGCTCATTAATCTTTCATACTTCCTTAATTATCTTCCATTAGGTAGCAGAATGCCAGTGTAGCGCACATTATAAGATTTCTAACTCACCATGTCCCTATATAGAATACGCACCTTGATTGTCAAGTTGTTTGGTTAACATAAACGTGCACTCTTTTTTTTTTTTTTTTTTTTTTTGAATAAAACATAAGACGTACACTTAAAGGGCTTTATGTGAAATTTTTTGAATATAGCTCGGAAATTAAGTGCTTGTTTGGTTAGCATAAGATCGCATGGGAATTATAAGTTCCTTAGAAGTGGAACTATGTCAAGCTGTTTGGTTAGCAATAAAACACTTGAAGGGGTTTATGTGAATGTTATACTTACCTGGCCTTAAAGTGTAGGAAGCCTTTAGGTAAATGGAGCTTACCTAAGTTAGTCCTTTTTGGGTAAGTGGAAATAATTGTGTGAATGTTTACTTCCTACTCTCAATCAAACAACTTACCAAATGAATGGAAGTGAACCTCATGGGAGTTATAATCTAAATAATATGTACGTTCGACCAAACAATCACCAAGAAAGTTAAAGAAAGATTAGGTATAGAGCATTGAGGATATCAATTTTTTCTTGAAAAGGCGAGTGTGAATTTATATTGGGACGAAGGGAGTATATTAAAACAAAGTATAACTTTTTACAGCTTAAGAGTACTTCTGTTGTTTTATTTATTTGTGTGCTCTTTTTGGGTCTTATCTTCTTGATTGGAGCGACATGATTCTTCTTGCTTGGATGTTGTATGTACCATTGAAAACAATTGATCAATGACCCCCCACCCTCCATCCATCCTCGGACATTCATCAACACATTACACATATGCACGTACGTGTACATAATAACCAAGTTTTCCAATGGCCTAACTTGTCTTAATATGTTTTTTTTTTCAGATGCTGAGCAACATCATGAGCTCCTCATTGTTAAACAAAACAAAGGAATTTTGTGAGGAACAACAGTACTGAAATCTTCTGGTACATTTCTGTGGTTGGGATTCAATTCATTATAATATGGGAGCTGATTTGCTAAAAGCCTTTCAAGTGGAAACTAGAAGATTGCTTTGGCTAATTGGTCTGGTGTTTATAACTGTTATATTATTCCAGTTTATTGAATTTCCAAAGGGTAGTGCTTTATGGTCCTTATTTTCTCGGGGTGAAGGCCCCATGTCAAAGGACCTTAGCCTTCTTGGTGAGAACTCGACATCCTTATCAAGCAACGTGAGTTCACCGAGTGTTGGAAATACAAGCATTATATCTGAAGACAGGAACAATTCTTTGGCAGTGGGACTTGATGAAGGCCGAAATGGTTCTCATATCTTGGAGAATCCTGATCCTGGCAATATAATTGATCGTAATTCTTCATCCATTGACACTCTGAAAGGACTTGCTTTGCCACCGGAAGATAATGGGAATTTAAGTTTGGCCCCAATAGAACCTCCAGTTGCACCATTAATTTTACCACATAATGTACCTCCTAATTTAAGTATGGAATTAAGCACTCCACCGCCACTGCTACTGCCACCGCCACCTCCACCTCTAGTTCATGCATCAGATAAGAAGCCAAAGTCCAAAATATTTGAAAAGGAGGTCCTTACATTGTCAGACATGAGTGAGGAGTTGATCCAAAATTATTTATCACCTTCTACAATGGTATGTATGGTTATCTGAATTCATATATTGTCCGCATTAGTCTATTCCCTTGTGCTAATTAATTTTACTTTCTTACTAATTTTAGGTACCGCGATGGTCATCAAAAGTAGATAAGGATTTAGTACTTGCAAAACAACTGATTGAGAATGCACCTCCCTTGAAGGATGGACTCTATGTTCCATTATATCGTAATGCAAGCATGTTTAAGAGGTAATGCACTAACGCTTATATTAGTCATGCATAAATTAAGCTCAAACCGTACATTTGGAATTGGGTTTTTAAAGCTTGGATCACGAAATGTATATTACTCTTGCGACTTCACCATTATGCTAAGTTTTTGTTTGATTACAACCAGGCTCCTGGAATGCAAATCATATCAGTAACTATGATAGATATTCATTTATTTTTCTACTATGTTATGAAATTTTTTAGGAGCTACGAGTTGATGGAGCAGATGCTTAAAGTCTACATCTACAAGGAAGGTGACAGGAGAATATTCCACAGGCCACCACTTGAGGGAATATATGCTTCCGAAGGATGGTTTATGAAACAGATGGAATCAAACCGGCATTATGTCACCAAAAGACCCAGGGAAGCACACCTCTTTTACCTTCCTTTCAGTTCTCTGCAGTTGGAGGAGGCTTTGTACGTGCCCAATTCACATAGCCACAAAAACCTTATACAGCATTTAAGGGAGTATGTGAGTATGATATCAACAAAGTACCCCTATTGGAATAGGACTGAGGGTGCAGATCACTTCTTTGTTGCTTGCCATGATTGGGTATGCTTCCTGTGCTTAATTATATAAAGTTTTATGACTAAAACATGGAAAATATATGCTTTGAATTTCGTATGTTTCTTCTTGAACTGGTTGAAGCTCTTATGGAGTCTACTTTACTTGGGAAAGTTTGTGCTACAAATCTGCCAAGTGCCAATTCAGAGGAAAATGCAGGGTATCTTAATATTCATCACCGATTTGGCTTAAGGCATCTAAGATTAGTGTCTAATTAAGATCAGTTGACCTTATGTTGTTCAAGAGTCTGGTTCTTTTATTTTCATTTTCGGTTCTTGGCCTTCACATAAATTTTCACTAGGATGCACGTAAAATACTAGATCGATTAAGGTGTATCCCGTGCTTGGACTTCAAACACCACCTGCTCATCAATACTACTCTATTAGGCAGCCTAGAATGGCCTCGTGACAATTGTTGCTATAATTTGATTTTCAAACAAACACTTACATTGATAAGAGCAAGACGATTCTTGACACTGAAATTTCAGAGGAACCACGGTGAATCCTTGATTGTAAGGGGTTGGGACAAATATTGATATCTGTTATTAGTCTTGTTACTCTACTAAGTGTAGATATCCTATATCAATATTATGAGTGCTGATTTAGTTCACTGTTTTCTTTCACAGGCTCCATCTGAAACAAAGCGGATAATGGCTAATTGCATTAGAGCTTTATGCAATGCTGATGTCAAAGAAGGATTCAAATTTGGCAAGGATGTATCCCTCCCTGAAACATATGTACGAAAAGCACGAAATCCTTTAAGAGATATAGGAGGAAAACCTCCTTCCAAGAGGAAAACCTTAGCTTTCTATGCTGGAAATATGCATGGTTACCTCCGGCCACTTCTTTTACAATCTTGGGGCAACAATATTGATCCTGACATGAAAATATTCGGTAGCATGCCACGTTCTAAGGACAATCGAAACTACATCAACTACATGAAAACCAGCAAGTATTGTATCTGTCCTAGAGGGTACGAAGTCAATAGTCCACGAGTTGTCGAGGCCATTTTCTATGAATGTGTCCCGGTGATCATATCAGATAACTTCATTCCTCCATTTTTCGAGACATTGAATTGGGAGTCATTTGCTGTGTTTGTGGCCGAGAAAGATATACCAAATTTGAAGAACATCCTTCTTTCAATACCAGAAAAGACATTTTTTCGAATGCATATGAGGGTTAAAAAGGTACAGCAGCATTTCTTGTGGCATCCTAAACCTCTCAAGTATGATTTGTTTCATATGATTCTTCACTCAATTTGGTATAACAGAGTTTTTCAATTTAGACCTAAATGATTTATTTATGTTAACAGGTATGGAAAGTTTCCAACATTAGTTTGTTGTTTGTATTATTTTTTGTAATGTTTTTGGTAGAGGTTGCTAATTCTTTATTTATTTGTTCAATTAATGTATATAATTTGTGTTAAGATAAAGAAACTTTGTAATTGTAAACTTGAAATAATTTAGTTCATTGATACTATAGTATAGTGCTCCAGAATCCAGATGCTATTATAGTATCACATCTACACGTCGTACACAATACGGCGGAATTGAATTCCTTCATTTTCGAGGGGATTGCCTATAATCTCACATATGACCATGTCATTAAGGCCCTGTTCTCTTCACCTTATAAAAATAATATCAAGTAAAAATAATTTCAGTTCAGTAAAAATAAGTTCAGTTCAGTAAAATTCAGTTTTCTTAAAGAAGAATTATAATTGAAAATCAGTAAAAATAATTTAAGTTCAGTAAAACAATTTCAGTTCAGCAAAATTAAGGTGAATCAAACAGGGCCTAAGTGAGGGGTTATTAATTACTCGTATTTTCCTAATCTAGTTTTTGACGTGTGTTGATGAGAATCGATCAGGATCTCTTGAAATTGAAAGAGACCACTTTTTTTTTTCACTATCAGATTTGTCCAAAATTTAACAAAACATCCATGGTATGCATGACTAGTTAGCATGGAGTACCATATAGTCCATATTTTAAATGTTGGTTAAACTAAAGATATTCACTTTAGAAAGAAATCATTCTTTGACATAAGTATTCAACTATATATATATATAAAAGGATCTTGCTAACAAACGCCCCCGGAGTGTTGAATAATCATTTGAAATATTGCCTAAAATGATATTATTTTGGAAAAATATGACAAAATCACGTATCGATCGATATAATTAATATTCATTTTAATTTAATCTTTATACTTTTAACTAGCTTATCCAACGCTTTCAGGGCTTTCGTTAGCTTTTGCCATTTATAATACATGTATACTTTGGTACCAAAAAAGAAAAAAAAACATTATACTCTTCCCGTTCAAAAGGCAACAAATCACCTACGAATCTACAATACGGTCACACTAATCTCCGAGAAACGTAAGAAAAATGGCAGATATCATGAAGAGAATTGTTAAACTACGTTTAACTACTCAATATTCAATACCCTCTTGCCCCTTCTACCTTTTTTCACCCAGAAAAAGTTTCTCCATTTTCACAATTCACCCTTTCCCCATTAATTTTTTATTCTTTTTTACTTTTTATTTATTTAATTTTTTTTTTTGGGCTGTTTCTTTACCAAATTCCATAACCAGACAGGGGAGGTGGAGGAGGAGAGAGAAAGTGAGAAGGGGTTAGACATGATAAAAACCCCTGATTTTGATCAGATCTATCAATTGCAATACTCTATTTTGATGGTCTGAAAATTCAATTAAATAATTTCTAAAAAAATAAATAAAGAAATTCATTAAAAGGATTGATTTCAATGGCAAGTGCTTCTGTGAAGATGAAGCCCATCAACAGGAATCAAGCTGGGCCTTCATCTTCTTCAAGCAAACCCATTTTAAAGAAAAAGATTGAACCTTCAAAATCTGTTGCTGATTCCAAGTTAAATAAGTCTGTCCCAGTAAAAACTGCAAAACCTGAGGTACCCATTTTCTGATTCTTTATTTCTATTGGATGATGTGGTGATTTTTTTATAATTTAACTGTCAGTTTACATATTGGTTTATTGGGTGTTTGATAATCTATGTGGGTAAGTGGATTTATTGTTGCTTTGGAGTGTCGAGGATTAGACATGGGTACTTGATGTGAAATGAAAAGACGAGAAATGAAAAGTCCGAGTAATATAGGCTTTCGTAACTATAATCTATAGCTGATCATTGTTTTTTGTCATTGTTTGAATTTGTAGGAGAAAGGGAAAGCAGTTGTACCTGCAACACCTGTTAAGAAGAAAAGGGAAAAGAAGGTTTTCAGTTTGACAGGACAGAAATATGACCCTCCAGAGGAAGTAAATTTGGATTGAATTATTGATATAATTTTTCATTATAGCAGATGTCTTGTCACATTGGTGTAACTTATTTATATGTGATCTTGTTGACAGAGGGAGCCCTTGAGGATATTCTATGAATCGTTGTCGAAACAAATACCAAGTAGCGAAATGGCAGAATTCTGGTGAGCATTATAATGTTCTGTGCTTATTGTGATGGTCTGTGAATCTATTGTTATTTTGTTCGGCCTTGGTTGTTGCTGTAATGAGTATGCTATGGGGATATTATGTAAAGTGCATTATGTGAAGAAGAGATATCGTGCTACTTGTCTGACCGAGTTAGGAGACTTAGGACTTTGGAATTAGAATTGATTAGCATCACTGTGCATGTCCTTCATGCATTCTTGAGGTGGAAATTAGTTTTAAGTCCTTTAACTAATGTTTTTGGCAACGTATGTTATTAATATTTACATAATTGTTGCTCTTCCTTTACGTTAATAAATAAGCTAAAAATCATTGAAGACAAGTTATACAATTTCAACCTCAAGATTCTTATGGCTGCATGATCAGGATTTGTCATTGGTATATCAGAGTTTTGATACGAGTAATAATTTACTGCCATATAGCATCAGGTAACTCAGGTCATTGTCATTTATTAGAATGCTGACCTTGGAAGCTAAGTAGATGTTTGGCTCATGTGACACAGTGACACACATACTACATCTAGGGAAATTGGGAATTATTTAAAATCAAAAGTGATGATATACACATTATATAATAAAATATCCAAAATGGAATTAAGGTTGTGGCAAGGGAGGAAAACTAAGATGTAGCTGCACAATTAGATGTACCATTGATTTATCTAATTAAAATCATTAACAGTACAAAATTCTATCATTTTAAGCTCACCTCTTTCACTTATTGATTCATTATTAGAAAATGTGAAGGTTCCAATTGAATTCAGCGGTTTAGTCAGAGTTAAAAATGAAGGAGAAAATATTGTGAACAGAATATAATTAATTGAGAGATTGAATTTGAAGGTACAAGGAATAAGGACTAAATGAGGAATGGATGTTGAACATTGAAGTCTTAAAGGTCAAAGGTGAATGGGAAGAAGCGACATTTGTCCCTAAAGGTTTGTGATTTAAAAAACTTGGTATACATATGACTTATGGAGATTGAAAATAGACAGAGAGGAAGTCAGTTAGTGCAATTCCTTGGACTTCACCATAAATTAATCTTGAAACAAATCTACTGTGGTATGAGTATGGAGATACATATATGTAAAAGACTTGCCTTAAGGGGAGGGGCACTTTAGTTAAGGAAAATCAATTGAAGGAGGAAGGCTACTAGTGGTATATATATAGGATAGATTAATTAGAGAAAAGGAAGCAGAAATTTTTGAGAGAGTATCATTTAATTTCCAAGCGAAGATCTGAGGTTATAATCTTAGTGGTGATTTAATTGGACTGCTAAACCAATCAAGAAACAGGGAAGGCTTTTAGCTGGCAGGGGAAACCAACTATCAAATTTACCCTAATTTTTCTTCTTCCTCATTTCTACAAATCTGATTTTTCATATCTATAACAACTTGGGTGAATAAAATTTGTCCAAAACTTTAAAGGACTTTGTCAATGGCTGATCCTCTCTCCCCCTCTATTGGATTTTATATTTTAGGCTCAGAACTTTAGTTGAAGTTGTGCCTACTGTGGTGATTTCACAAATCTTTCAGGGTTTGGAGATTAGATGCCCCCCCACCCCCCACACCAAATTGTGTAGAATACTTTTAGTTTCCATTGGTTGAAGAAAAATACCCAGCTAAAATGACCAAAACTTAGGTGTCAAATGAAGTTTTAGTGGGTGGAGTTTTTATATGATGTTGTCATAGGGATAGGAGAAAATATATTAAAGAGTCCTGAGTTGAAGATCGGAACATGGACATATAAATAGGCAGGCTGGATAGAGGCTTTGGTTTCCAAGCTTTATTTATTTATTTATTTTTATCACAGCAATGGAAACATAAACAAAAGTGCTAAATTGACCACCAAGAAGAAGAAGACCCACAAAGGTTGAAGGAAGAACTACATCCCAAAACCCAAGAAATCAGTTAAGACTCCAAATTTGAAACCTCGCCAACTCTAATTAGTACGTACTGCTGAAGGTTATTCTTGTTAGGTCTGTAGAATAAATTAGAGTATGATTAGAGAAGAGGAGATGAAAGATGATGAATTGCTCATAAAATGAGAGATTGACATTAGTGAAGGTTAAAGAGTTAGGTCTATTAGTCTACATATTACTAAGTACATCCTTCATTTCTTAATTGCAACACTTTGATTGTTGTTCTATACATATCCTAATTTGTCCACATTTTAGTAAAAAAATTGGTTTCCTTGAAATTTTCAACAATTGTCAAAAGGAGATGTTTCCAAAAAAATTACAACACTTCTAAATTTGGTAAGTTTTACTAATAAAAATACTAACAATGACCTTACTTTGTGGAGTGAATGGGGACGAAAGGGGTTAGATTAGGTTATTTGGGTAATAAGGAGTAGGTGAAGCCTTGCCTCTATTTCTTTCCTTAAAAATGTGTCATTCTCTAAGTAATGTAATTTTATCGAAATAGGGATGTATTATGTAAAAATTTTGGGTTAGCCAATGTATAACTGTAAAATAGTAAGTTTTTGTAGTAGGAGATTTTAGAGGATATTGAGAGATTTCTTATGACCTTGAGTAGATTAATAGAAGGGAGATCTTCTTGTTAGAGAAAATGCAATGGTAGGTTTAAGGAAGAAGCTTGTATTTTGGTAGGTTGGTATCTAAAAGCATTTCTTAAGTGGGATAATAGTTGAGGTGTTGCATGAATTTGGTTCTCTTTGGCATGGAGGAAATGAGTGATTCAAAGTGCGCATGATCTTCTAAGCAATGGTTTGGATGTGTTAACTAGGACTAGTGTTCACTGTACTAGCCTGTGGGAGTTTATCACCACTCGCCTTTTTCTTGGTCAAATACAAGGTAAATAATGAAGATAATATCATTTTGTAGTATCCCTTTGTCTTGCCTCTGTTTATTTTCAATTACCCATCAAACTTAATAATTTTTTTTTGGGAGGAACGGTTTTAACTCTTGTTGGAACTTTTGTTTTGAATAGCCCTTTATGATTGGGAGTTTGGAGAGCTGACTAAATTGTGGTGCATTCTTGATTCTATAGTATAATTTTTTTACATAAACTCTAAGTTCACCATCTTTACCTCTTACTATTATTCTTTGGAAGGCTAAGGCTCTGAGCTGGGTGAAATTGTGTGGGTTTTTAGTTTGAGAAACTCAGTACTGTTGAAAGTCTGCCTGTAGGTGAAACAAATTATCATCTCTTCATGTGTGCCTTTTCTTTCCTGTTTTGGGGAGACTTGTGAATACCCTGTTTTTGGGTTGTTAGGTGCACTGACTTACCTATGGAAGAGGCTTTGTAGTTTGGTAGGGAGTTAATGGGTTTTCCTATTAAATGCATTGGATCATTTATGCTCCTGTGAAGTTTGGTAGCCTAAAGTGGCGAACAGCTTTGCGGTGGGTTTGCTAATATATGGGTGCTTGGGTTTGAGAGGAATGTTTTGGATAGTCTTCTTGGCTTTGTTATGCGATCTGGTGTTCTAATTAGCTAAACTACAGTCAAATTCTCATGAGCATTTCTTTGGCATTTCTCCTTTCAGTGTAATGAGTTCTGATTCCCCCCCTTGATTTGCTTCCTTATTTGTAGAATTGTAGCTTTTGATATCCTTCTGAATGGATATTCTTTTCATCCTAAAAAAACCCTGTTATCCTGTATGCGACATAATATCCAGTGAAGATGTAATTCTCTTGTAAAAACAATTCAGAGAAGAATGGATTGACTTGACCATCCGACCCACTTGTATGGTGTTCCCTGGGCTAAGTAAAAGGACGTTCAGAAAAGATGAGTTATTGTTTGATTACCATGAAAGCAGATCTCTCTAGAGACAATAACTTTATATTAATATTTGACTCCTTTCAAGTAGCACCAAAACCTCATCTCACCATTCATTCGCTGGAAACCTTCTTATTTACAATAGTATAATTGTGTTTTAGAAAGATACATGTCTGATTATATGTTTAATGAATTGTCTGCTTTCTTTCTCACAAACTTTTTTTTTTCTCATGCAATTATTGTCTTTCATCAAGTCTTGCCATTTTGAGGAAGACATCAATGTATCGTGCAAACTTAAAATGAGTACATTAAACATTTAGTTGTTTTTGTATTCCACTTTGACTTCTTGTATCTAAACCCTGATTAGTGCTTCCTCTGTTTTCTTGAGTTCTTAATCCAAAATTTAGTTTATGAACTAGTATGAAGTGGATATATCCATTTCAGGAGTATATATGTATATTTTTTTCAATGAAAGTAGACCTTTTTTAGAATACCTGGTGCCTGTGTATAGTGGCTGTAGCTATAAGCTCATATGGGATGACTGGAAGTCAGTATGCCTATGCTCTGTTCCACTCATCAAAAAGTGTTGATGAGCCATACCTCCCCGATGCACTTAAATTTGCACAGCCTCCCATACTAGACATATATAGTTGGACTTGAGATCCCTATATGTTTCTTTAGTAGTTCCATTACAAGAGTTATTAACACTTGGTTCACTGTAGTTGCTTACTTTCTTTGGCACCATTTGCACCAGCAAACTGTCTTGTAAGCTGGTGAGTGATGATAAGCTTATTTATTGGTGGTCTGGATTATGGAGACGTACCCTGTGGACAAAATTGTAATGCCATATCTTGGGTGTAGACTAGTGCATTCAGGAGCATGCTCATGGTGGTTGGTCTTTCTATTGGTATTATGAGTTTATATAGCATGATTCTTTCGGTTCCGTGACGCTGACATTCAAGGGAATGGAACTCTGTAATGGTATTGCTATATATGTTTCTGACAATCCACTCAGCACCAATTATTTCTCAAATGACAATGCTCAGTTGTATAATAATGTCCCATGACGTGCTGAGGACACATTAGAGAAGCTCCTCAAAATAAGTTTTCATGCCTAATAGCTAATATTCTATAATACCCTTATGCAGTGTAATGAGTATTCAGAGTGAATAATTTATGACCTTTTTTGTGTAATGATTGCCTCCTTTGAACAACAACAAAACCTAGTATGAATCTCCGTCTGTTGTGCTTGGAAGGTTATGATTGGGATAAGCTATTTTGTTTACTGATAGACCTTCAGAGATTAAGCTACTCTACCATCTAGGTATCCAAATTTGTCTAGTTAGATCTCTCTATTACTCTTCACACTCAGGTTAAGAACGACAATTGACTACTCATTGGTGAATCTGGTCCTTTGTTTGTCAGTCAGGACATTTCTAGTTGGGAATTTCTTTGCTAGCTTGTAGAGTTTGTCTTCATTTGATTTGATTCTCTGTGTTTTAGTTAAGTTTGCTTCATTCCAAATTATTTGATTAATACCCCGTGAAATTTAACCTATCAACTACTACAAGAACTGGCAGAGCCCACTCGATTAATTACCTGACCTCCTTTATTTTATCCGATTAGGAGCAACATCTTAGTAGTTATTGAATGTGCTTGCTCAACTGCTTAATTGTTTGCTACTTATTTACTTGTCCAAATCATAATACTCGCAGCCTCAGAGGTTTTGGATAATAATGGAGACAATCATGAAAGCTTTTGCTTGAATAGTTGACAAGGACTCTTTTGATTCAACAGTAGAATATACAACTGTGGCGTGGACCTTCCACTATCATATCCTTTGCTTTATTCATAATCAGCTGAACTTCTTTTGGTGTTGGTTGAGTTGTCGTGATGTTGAAGTTTCTATCTTTTTGCATGTTTAAATTGTGTTAGTCCTCGAAGTCTTTGTTAAAGCAGAGATCTGAATTAAGTATTTGACCTAGTGGGGCGTGTTGCAGCTATTGCTCACACGGTACGTTGTATGTCACGTTGTCACCCATGCTAACAAAATGTTATATGGGAAATTCTGAGGTGACTCTGCATTCTTTAAAGTTTCGTATGGTGGAAATTTTAAAAATTCGATTTTCTGAAATGATCCTTGTTATCGTTTAACAAACTTTAGTGACTTTAAAATGCAAATTAATGAAAATATCCGTTAAATTAAAAAAAATAAAAATAAAAACCATTAATTACTCTCAGTCCCACCCCCTTCATGGCAGCTAACAAGCTCCAATGTTACCTCTTCCTTATCCATTCCCCACCAATAAAGCTTCCACCTTTGCCAGTAATTCTTTCAAATTTTGAATTAATATTCACTTCACAGTTGAACTCTATGCTCAAGGCCTCAAGCTATCAAATTCCTTCCATATTATCAGCCCAGCCATTAAAACATCTGGGATACCCTGAAATGAAAATAAGGTGATTGCAGTGAATGAGGGAATTTGAAAGGCCGCGTGCCTTCCACATTGATTGTTTCATGACCGGATTATCAAGCCTTTATTTATTCTCCACCGTATTAAAGTTTACAGAACATAGATTTATGACCATTATCATATGGAATTCCCCAGATGATAACGATGTTGAGGGGTAGTTATTTCTCTTGTTTCAACTTTTAAAAAATTCTATGTGATTTCTCCTATCTTTTCACATACTCTGATATTCATTCCAATGATATGTCCTGATGATGTTTCTGAAAGCCTTGTGGATGTGTTTGATTATGATTAGACGTTACCGTTGCAAACACCACATGCACTTCTGCTCTTTTGATACTACCCATAGCACAACTTGTCCTTGAGCTAGTTTTCTTTTGGGAGCTAAAAATCATTTGTTAGATTTCTAGAGAATTACCTAGGCTCCACTGCCGTACTGATAATGTCAAATGACCTGCTTCTACAGATTCATTTTTAATTTTCTAGGCTTTCAACTAGTCTTGTCTGTAGCAAAACTTGGTATAAAAATAATTGAATCATAAAGTTGTTTTCTTTGCATATATATTCACATAATTAAATTCCACCGTAAATCTCAGGCTGGCTTTCTGCATTTAATTTTGCTGTTTGGATGTTAGCTATGCGTCATAATGGAATAAAGGTTGCATAAGTGCCTTCTCTTATGTAATAAACGATATTACACTCGTGCTGAAAATTGGATGGTTTTATCCATGCCTTAGCTTAGATGTCAATTTTAAACGTCAGTCTTCACTTTATATGTAGCTAGATTTATTTGAGAACGGAAAATTTACTTAGTGGGCTTCAGCATTTCCTGATTAGACTAATGTGGACCTGAATTTAGAAGTGGACAAACAACAAATTTCCCCCCTTCTTTGGTTATGAAGAATGAAGTATGAGTGAGTCAATATTATTCTCCGACAATTTCTAAGGAATTAGGATTGTTGGTTTTGCATTTCAAAGTTCTATTGTTGTAAGTTGGAGCTTTTTTAGCTAAATGATGATTAGCTTTTGACAATTTGATTTTTTTTATTACGGAGTATGTTCTCTTGCGGTATTCAAGTTGATCTACAGCTTGGAATTAGCTGGCCAAATAATGTTATTTCATAGCTTGGGACTCTTTCAGTTAGGGATTTTCTGGAGTTATTTTGTTCAATTTTCTGGGAAAATTTCTTGAATATATTTTGACGTGCTCACTGTTGCAGATATCTGGAGGAAAAAAAAAATGTGTTTTTTGTTTGTTAGTTATGAATCGATTTCCATATAGGAATCAATTATGTGACTTGAACTAAATAATCTGATAATTGTGATATGAAGGCAATAACAAGGGCTGTTTTGCAGGTTGATGGAACATGGTTTATTGTCTCCTGAAAGAGCCAAAAAGGCCTTTGAGAGGAAACAGCGAAAGCAGAAACAACTTAAGATGGGAACTCCTATAAAATCGACGCCTGCACCTAGTAGACCAGAAAGTTCAAATAGACAAAAGCTTGTATCTAAGAACGGTGATATGAAGGCCAAGAAAAGAATTGTTGAAGACAGTGATGACGAAGTCATTGGGAATGCTAAAAGAAGGAGAGCATAAAATATGGTACCTTCGCACTCCATAGCAAAAAGTATTTGTAGAACATTCCACAAGGTTAGTTTCCTTATCATTCAAATTCTGAACAATACCATAGCAAAAGTCCATTGTAACAATCTTATAGGGTATAAGTTGAAGTCCTTTTTTCACTGATATACATTGTCAGATTCGAGAATAAAGGAATAAAATACAAGTTTTCTTTTATACAGCTCAACTGTGTTATTGATTCCAGTGGTTCTACACTTCTACTTATCTGACTGCTAGTTTCTCTTCAGAATTATCTGACGCATCTTCTTTGTGCTTAATCTCAAAACATCTTTCTTGTTGAGATTTAATATCAAAGTTTCATTTAGCAGCATACTGTATACTTGTATTTTTTCAAAAACTCTTACCTGTAGTTGATTATTGAATGCTCATGGGCCATCTGAATGCATGGTTATAACGAGCGGTTCCCGGTATATTTTTAACTATATCAGTCTTTAATTCACCCACAGACCCAAAAAATTAAAAATCAGAAGAGGAGAAACCTAGCAATTCCATGTGCATTTGCATTTATAATAAGGTCAGTAAAATGTCTCCGTGATGGTCCCTTTATGGGCCTTTTTAAGGGAAAAACATGACTCCTGTGCCCTACAATGCCTTAATTTAGATGGGTGGTTTCCATTATCAGTTTTTCAGAAAAATTCTTGAAAATCAACTCTTCTCTTTTACTTTTTTTTATTAATTGTCCTACCATTGATGTGTACTTATGTCACATGATCATCATGTAGACTGATCAGCGAGGATCGCGAAAACAATGAAAAATATCTGTCTCAGGTGGTGATTATTTATGAGTTGAGATGATTTATTGATGCACTGTTATATTCCATCCATGGCAGCAAAGTTTATGAACAATTTTTTAGTCATGTGGTTTAATTGCAGCCATTCAGGAGGAACAGGAAGTCTTAGATGATTGTGACATTTAAGATTTTGTCCAAGTTAAAAATATATGGATTTTGACTACTGTTACCTTGTTTGTTAAAAGCTGCAATTTGTGCTTTTGACAAAATGATTTTTTTTTTTTTTAGTTTTTTTCACCTAGTTATAACAAAATTATATGTTCACATGAGTAAAGGTTACTCAAGTTCAATCCACAGCTGAATAGGCTCTGATAAGTGTGTGTTCTTTGGAAAAAAAAAAAGGGTGTATGTATCTGTCACAATACTTCCTTCGTTATCAACGAATTGTTACTTCTGTGTTATACACGAAAAGCCTCATGGAGTAGCCGAGTAGGTGCTGCTATGCTGGTGGTTCCATTGTTGTGCACTGTTTGTTGCATTGCATGTGAGAATCCCATGGAAAAAATAATTCGTATCAAGTTGTGCATTTTCTTTTCTGCATCTTTAAGGTCGTGGAAACCCAGGTTCATTTATGGCTAAAAGAAGGCGGTATGTTGCATGAGTGTATCAAATGCTGACATCTTTCTTTTTTTTATTCTTTTAATTTTGTGTATGTATAGAGTCATCAAGAGTTATAAGTTAGTGTTGTAGACGAGATTTGATTCAAATCTTGGTACGAGTACCACTTTTTAAAAACTAAATGCACCTTGGTACTAGAAGAATTTGCTACCTCTTATTGTTGTGTCATCTGACCTGTGTAAGGTTTTTACTCAACTCAACACTTTGGCTGAAAGCCTGAAACACTGTAATTCTAGGGTTTTCTATTACTTTGACTTTGGTTTACAAACTTTTTTCACCATAAAATAAAGTCCAGTAACTTTGATGTACCTTTTCTCATAAATGTTCATAATGATCCTATAAAAAAAAACTTGACTGATTACTCCTATTGGAAGTATTTGTGGTTTTCTGTACTGTAAGTGAATTTCCTGGACACAAAATTCATGTGATGAAATATTTGGTAAGGTGTTCGAAAACAGGATGGTTTGTGAACCACTTCATAACTAGCATGTTCGCGAACAAAATTTGAACAGGCCTAAACAAGCCAAAGGTTTAGAAAGCTAAGCTCGAATAAGAATTTAAATCCTCGTTCAAGCTTGAGCTACCTCGAACACTAACAATTCTTTATCAAGCTCGCCTAGCTCAACTCAGCTCGTTTGCAACTTTGTTTCTTGGTAAAAAAACATTAACACATGACGACTACTAATGAAATGAATATTAACTTGTTTACAGAAAATGAAAGATCTCAAATAAAAAACTAAGTATGGCCTATGTATTAATGAGGAGAGTATTTATTCAATTCAATTTTTGTAAATTTTGATTTATTATTCGTAGTTTTTAAGAAAAGTTTTATGGGAAAAACTAGGAAGTGCAAAACTTTATGAGATTTTTAATTATTTTTAATTTTTATCAGACAAAAGCTAATGAAAGTTGCGGGGGGCTTGGATAAGGTAATTAAAAGTAGAAATATTAACTTGAAATAAACATTGATTATGCTGATTGACGTGTAATTTTGGCATGCATTTCCAAATTAATACTCGTACTACCTCTGTTTTTATTTAATAGATATTATTCTATTATCACGTTTGCCAACACACTTTTTTAACGATTAATATCTCTAATTTTCGATATTGTAAAATTATAAAAAGTTGATATTAATAAAATAAACATTAAGACGCTTTAAATAAGATCTCACTTGGCTTGTTTTATCATAGCTATAAATCACGAAAGGTGGTCAAAGTGTTATTTTAGAAACTATTTTAAAGAGTTATCTAACGGCCCAAAGACGTTCGTTAACAAGATCCTTTATTATAACTAGAAATTAATATGCACACTTCAAAAAAAAAAATTAAGAAAGGAATTTAAGTGACCAAAAACTTTGAAAAATAATGAATTTGTGTACGTGAATTATTGAACCAACATAATCACAGCAAAGTGGGCGATAGACAGTACTAAGATTTAATTGTTGGCTGATCCACTTTTGGTCCCAAGTCATAATCATATATAAGGAAAAATTGCCAAACTAAGCGTTTTTGGGAAACAATTTCCCAAACAAGACGCGTGGCAAAACTATTTACCAAACTAAGCTTCCAGAGTAAAACGCCAACCAGGATGGCGTTTTACCCTGGGCATTTTTTTTTTTAATTTTTAGTCAAGGATAAAACGCCATCAAGGTTGGCGTTTTACTGTTGGGCAAATTTTTTTAAAAAAACACATTTACACAAAAACGCTAACGCCGTTGGCGTTTTACCCTGAGTGATTTTTTTGAAAATAATTTACCCCCCTAAAGCGTCACCATGGTTGGCGTTTTATCTCTGCACACAAACACAGCTACACAGCAACAGCAGCAACAACCACAAGAGCTGCAACAACAACAACAACAACCACAGGAGCTGCAACAACAACAACAGCAACAACCACAACAACAGCAACAGCGACAACCCCAACACTCTAAAACGCCAACGACGTTAGCGCTTTTGTGTTAAAAGTAACACGCCAACGGCGTTAGCGTTTTTGTGTAAATGTTTTTTTTAAAAAAATTTGCCCAGCAGTAAAACGCCACCCTTGATGGCGTTTTACCTTTGACTAAAAATTAAAAAAAAAAATTGCCCAGGGTAAAACGCCACCCTGGTTGGCGTTTTACCCTGAAAGCTTAGTTTGGTAAATAGTTTTACCACGCGTCTTGTTTGGGAAATTGTTTTCCAAAAACGCTCAGTTTGGCAATTTTTCCCATATATAAATGATGTGATTAGTGAAAGGCTATGAATGCTATTGTTGCCTTTTTACATCTTATTTTTCCAATGTCCAACACATTTTTTTAAATATAAAACTTCATGAAAATGAAAAGTCGAAAATTTTTGAGCTCTTTCTCTACGTACCCTTAACTAAGGCAAAGCTACCTACGCGTTGCCCACGCTGAGTATCATCAAATTAAATCAATTCATCTGTACTGTCTTTTTCTCTCCAAGTGTCCGAATTTTATTCCTCGACTTAATATACTCTTTCCGTCTTAGTCCTTATATACATTATTGATGTATGGAAAGAGTTGTCACCTTTTAAAAAATTGTTCGTTACATTTATGTTTAGTGTTCATATCAAGAGATAAATATAAAATAATTGTACTTATGAGAAGTTAGTTTATAAAACCTACATCTTGACTGATTTGGATCATAGAACAAGTGTGATGTACTAATTCATGGACTGCCTATTTTCAGGTAGCAATTTATTCAACATCAATGAAGCAATGTGGCAAATTTTGGTAGATTTTGGAATGGTGCCAAGGTTGATTTTAGCATTATTTGTGGAAAAGAATATACTCATACTTTGTAATTGATGCTACAGTTTGTGAAAATAATGTAGGTTATGGTGCTTTCTAGTTTGTTCGTTAATTAAATTAGTTATTGTAGTTGTCAACTATTCTACTGATTAAAATTTTGAAAGCTAAAAGACGTATAACACTTAACACTACATGTTAGATAAAATTTGTCACGATCAATCTTTGAAATACGATCATAAGAGTAATAAAATATTAAAATTGTTAGTAAATAAATTAATAAGTTTAGCCGTAATGTTGCATTTTTTTGGCAATTAGTTGTCTGATTGATTTTAATTTGTTTGTAAACTAAGTGGAGATTGATTAGTCCTTTTTAATCTTAATTTCTTGGCGTGGACCCTAAGTTCTTAACTAGCTAGCTAGCTTAGCTAGGGTTAACACAATATACACGAATTGACTCATTAAAGTGGTTCCCACGCTGTTGGTACGCGCGATTATCCCCCACTCAACTATCAACATGCTAATCTTTACTGCTAAATCCTAATTGGCTACTTCAAAGCTTAATTAATTATACTTAGCCTCCTAATTTAATTAATTTACATCAGACCGTAAAAGATTAATTTTTTGTAAGCCATATAATAATTAAAGTTAATATTTGTACAAGTTTTTTGTTACATGAGTTTTTAATCATTATATATGCATAAACATACTACTCAATCAAGCAAGGTTAGGAATTTATCTTGTAATCTTGTCGAATTCTTCCAATTGTGGTACTTGGGGTGGGGGTGGCCTGGGAGCAGAGGGTAAGAACGTTATTCTTTCCCCTCACTTCTATGTGGCTGGTCCTATGCTATCCACAAATATTGAACCAAAAAACCCTTGAGGGTTATCAAGGACATCATATTTACCTTAAAGAAAGTATGACAAGAAGATAATAGGTTTATATTTCGTCTACCCCTCCTTTCTAAAGTGGAATATTTAAAGTTCAGCGTGTATTGT